GATTATTCTTCTTTATGGCTGAGTAGTACTCCATTGTAAAAAAGAAACACACCTTCCTTATCCCTCAGTTGCTGGACTTCTGGGCTGTTTCCAAGTTCATATTGCTTTTTAACTTAAATTTGGATTTGTTTGTAGATTATATTATATACCACACATTTCCACATGTGTAAGAATTTGGATCACAATCTTAGTAGAAATTAAATTTGAATTAAAGATTGCAAATTTTTGCATTTGTGGAAGAACTTGACATAGTCCAAGAATAGTGCTATTCAGTCCTTCACTTCTGATTTGAGATTTGACTTTGGTAGTTAGCTATTTGGACATAAATCCAGTTTATGGCTCATAACTCATCTAAAGATTTTTGTAGCAAGTCATTTATTTCTGGAAATTTACTTACTTGTCTTTTACTAATCATTCATAATCTCATTTAGATGCCATGAAATTTACAAAACAGATTTAATTCACATATAATCCAAATTTCCACACTGAAAACCAGCTAGGATACAAGTACTCATATGCCACCTAATTGAACTTCATGTTTGTATTGTGTTTTTAAATAACTTTTGAAGGGCCAACCTGATTGCCCGTATTTTGAAATAACTCTCATTAGTTTATTATAGACAAGCAATTAGTTTGGATTAAGCATGCTAACTCACTTGATATATTTGCATTTTAAGGTGCTCAAGGGGCTCCTGATGTCTGTTTCAAAGAAGTTAATTCTCTGCGAGAAAGATCTGGAAACTGTGGTTTAAAAAATTCACAACCATTACCTTGTGAACAGAAGTATGTGTATAGAAAATGACTATTTTTTCAAGTCATAAAACTACATATTTATAGTCAAAAGACACTAAAAATAATTAACAATAAATGTATAATGGAATACAAATACCAATATATGCAATGCTCATCCAGTCAATTCTGCTTTTTTATTTTTTATTTATTTAAAAAATTTTTTTTTCTAATCTACCTGTCTTTCTTTCTTTCTTTCTTTCTTTCTTTCTTTCTTTCTTTCTTTCT